ATTTGATTTCTCAAAAAAAAAGGTTTCGTCTTTAGTCTCACATATAGTATCGTACATGTTATGGCCTATTGGTATCAAGCTATGTCAATAGAAATGGCTACAGGTATACACCGGATACAGCTGTGTGCAAATATCCAAACGATGTACATGTAATATCTCCTAATTTCTAGTGAGTATTGAACAATGTGCACGAGGTAACCACCACCCATGTCACACCTATGTTGCATCACACGTATTCGACATAAGTACGCAAGGCAAACGAAGGATCCCTATAATATAGGTGTCAAGTAATTTACTTATTGCCAATTACTTGAAAATCTCTATGTATAGTGTGTGTTTACACTCAAATCTCCCAACAGGCTCCGCCTTACTATGTTGATCAATCAGCCAGTAGACAAACAGACAGCTAACTCTGACATAGTGGCTAAATTCACAGGTCCTTCCTAATAAAGCTGATGTTTTTCCTTCAAAGAACTGATCAGAAGTCTTACTCTACTGTATCCAATCCCAATTTAACACTTCCACACTAAATTCAGCATGATCAAACAATACCCACAAAATTTCCATACATACTATTCACTATTCAGTTTATCCAATGATTCCAAATAGATCAATAAATTATCTTAAGTAGATCCATCAATTAAAAGGGGAAATGGAAAAGAAAAGACTGACCCATAATTTGGGAGGAGGGCTCCAATCCATACCCAACGGCAAAGGCGAAGTCCCATCATGTCTATGCTTCGGCGGACTCTGTCTTTGCCTCTGCATAGCTCAATCACAAATCAAATCAACTCCTCTTTCTCTGTTTAGACCAAAAATCAATCAGTTGGTGAGCGACTCGGGCAAATTAGATATTGTGTTTCTCTCCCAAGAGAGAGAGAAACTATTGCGATTCTAACGAAGAAGAAGAATAGTGGGAAGTGGAAAGCCTGGAAAAGCAACAATCTTTGTTTCTTGTGTATGTAAAAGTGTAATTGATCTCTGAGCTTCTTAAACCGGCGCATGATAACGAAATATAGTTAAACGTGGCTAAAATGTTCCCTGTTTGGATTCCTTTCTTCTCCGCCCAGGGACAAGCGCGTGTGCCACGCGGAAAATTGCCTCGTAACCAAATTTACTTTTTTTATGCCAACTGTGACCACGAGAACAATGACAAAATTTTAATTAGCAAAACCTAGTCGAGGTTTTAAGGCGAGGAAATTCGCTATCAGCGTAATTGTTTTTAGTAGAAGAATTAACCCGTTGTTATAAAATAATAAAAGAAGAAAGAAGAGTATTGCATAGAAAAGTAGGTACCTAAATTTCTCTTCAAATTTTATGAAGTATTATGTTATGTGATCTTCTACATCACTTGACTCCTTATAATAATTATTTGTTCATCTTCTTTATCAAGAATTTTATTTGAAACCGATTTGTCTATATGCTTTAAGCGTACCATATATTTTATTTTTCTAGGACTTATTCTAATAGGAGCATTTGCATTGAGAATATAGTTACATTCTTTGGGTCAGCAAATGCATCTGACATGTTTTTCAGAGTATTGCAGATGAATTATCTTTTTATGAACTTCAAGTTCATATTATCTTATTCGAGGATCTAAATGTACAAATGATAATTCATTCCACGTAATTTTTTCTCAACTGTTTGTTCTGTCTCCCGCTCATGTTAGAAAAACTAACATGCTTACTCAACTTTGGAAGCACACATTTGTGTGTTATGGTGTTAATCAAAATATATATCGCACATCAATAATAATAAGATGAAAATATTTGGTTTCTGACTCTGAACCATTTGTGAGGGGAGAAAGTAATATATTTTCGTATATAACGTATATCAAATTGATATAGATAACATTGTTCTCATAAGTAATAGTTTAGTTATTAAGTGGAGGCACTCAATAAATTATTTGCTAAACCAAGTATAAGTAAACCAACTTATCAAGACGAACTGTCTTGAATAGAAAATCTGAAAATTATGCTCTAAATTAAATTATTGAGCAAGTTGCCTCACAAACACCGGGTTGCGGGTTAATAATAATCGCACATGTAATCATCGCATAGATGCATCTTATGTAGTATATATGGCAAGTGAATGTGCCCATATTCACCTTTGATATTTTCAGCAGTCATGAGACTCAATCATAATTTTAGTTGGTCTATTAATTAATGAGAACAAGCAACATAAGAGAATTTGTAAAGAACTTTCTAGTTCTTTACTAATATTTACCCATGTGAATTCTCTTTTATTTTTGCATATCATGCTTAAATTAGTATAGCTAAACGAATTATGCCAACTGAATAAATTATCAATATTGATAAATTTCATGTTTACACCAAGACGTGTGCAATTATTACAAAAAACTCCAAATTTATTATGATATGAGTTTTTATATCGATAAACATCCAGTTTACTATGTCATATAATTTCACCATATTTTTTATTTGTGTAGTACAAATCGGGCAATAAAGTGGGTAGTTTTCATATACATATTACTCCGCTACAGTTGTAGTAATATAAGATATTAAATCTTCTGATTATTTATAGTCTCAATATAACCAACAGTTTTCGCGAATGTTTTAGAAACTCAATAAGTTTCTTTGAGACTTACTACGACACAATACCTTATTGATAATCAATTTTATTTCTCCAAAATAGTATAACTGGCTCTTCCAGGGCTCTCAATTAATTTTGTACTACCACATATTAATCAACATCCATATGGTGAATATCTCTTTCAAGGAAGAAGTTATACCATTATGGTCATGGTCAAAAATTATATGCAAGATTTGTTTCTTACATTACTGTTATCCTTTAATAATTACATTGCCACAATATTTTGGCGTACAATAGGTACGTGATCAATGATCATTCATGCCATAATAAATGAAATTATATTACTATTTCACCTCAAACCTCCTTCTAGAGGTGAGTGTGGTATATTCACTACCACTAGCATGTTCATATTCTTCCAAGAATGAATATGTATTCATAAATCACATGTTGTCACATTCACATCATGAATGCACCATAATTATCTATATGTGCTTTATAAAATCTCATGTCAAATCAATAACACATATTACTTTCACAAAGCGAAGGATTATTTTGAGAATCCTTATTGTTCTCATTACCACAATAATGACGATTATAATTTCGTCTATTGCCACGTCCACATCCATTGGTACCTTCATGATAATAATTTTGAATTCGTTCATACTTATTAAATATTGCTACCACATTCTCTTACGGGAATGAGAATGAAGCAAATTCAATGGGACGAGTTTTCACTTCTTGTGCTCATAATCATACATGAATTTGATCATGACGAGACATAGAAATTTTATCACTTCGGATGGTTATAATTTCTTACAAACTCTATTAGAGTTATAATCATAATTTATTGTCTTCTCTTGTATTTAAAATCAAATTATAGAATTTTAAGAATTAAAACAAGAAAAATAAGGTAAAATACTTACCTTAGATCCAGATTTTATTCATGAATAAAGTTCACGGAACAATTGATAATCATTATACTCAATATTATGTACAAGTAGAGTACCACACATGTATCCCAAAGCCTGGTGACCAAAGAAGATACCTAGTATAGGAATATCAATGCATTCACGCAAAAGCCTCACGCAAATTCCTATATCTTATCTATACGGGTGGTTTAATTTCTCAAACATTAGACAACTAGACAATATATCTACAAATTAAAACAACTGCCCTATACTCAATTGGTTAGAGTCTCGTGATGATAACGTGTTATAAAACAATAAAAGAAGAAGAAGAGTATTGCAGAGAAAAGTAGGGAGAGAGAATTCTTATTGATTTGGGATGACTTACAATTGAATAGAACCCTTGTATTTATAGAAAAAAAGTGACTTAGCCACAAAGTAACAAACCCCAAAATCTCTCTAAAATATAGATATTGACCTTAAATACAATTTTATTTATAACACCCATATAGTTATCTTTAAACTAAAATAGCCTGAAGATATATAATTTATGTATATATATATTCAGTATATTGTATATAATCTATATCGGCTACAAAAAGTAAACAGCGAATCCGGTCGACAGGATAGAAATCCCTTAGTATGAGCAGAGGTTAATGAGTTCACTCTTTTGTATCAAACAGAAGCTCTAAGGAACATTTACGGAAGGAAATTTAGTAGAGGTCCAAATTTCACTTCTTTCTTCTTTAATTTGTTGACGAGTCTTTCATTTTTTATGTTTAGCAAATGTTAAAAAATGCTATGCGGGTATTCTTCAGATTCACTAATAGCATCTGCCATAGTGAAATGAGATTGATGACAACGAGTACTTAAGAATAAATTAAGGTGGAGACTTTATTAATCTGATTGATGAATATTTAAGGGTTTGGATAATTTCTTCTCTTGAAACTGCTAAAAGTACACTAGTGTATAATTTCATATAGACTGGTTATCATTAGCAACTCTCAAGACTTACATTATCTGGATTCAAACTTCACATAGCACTCTGAGAACAAACTAAATGTGTCAAACAAACTAAGAGTGTTTTTGTTTCATAGGTTATAATACCTAGGTTGTGGAGTGAGGATTTCTCTTTTACCGTTGTTACTAGAATTATATGGTGTTCAGTATGAGTTCATACTTGCTACAACCAAAATGATGTGGTTTTGACTTTTGCAGATCCATAACATAGTTAGTGTTTGGACATAGATTTGATTGAAACTTGAAAAAAGAGTTTTTGAAGTTATATTGAAAAATAATTTTTGGAAATTGAAGTTATATTTGGACATGTATTTTATTTGGAAAAAAACTTGAAGTTTTGTGAGTGGAAGAAAAAATTTCACCAAAAAACTACCCTAAACCAGTTTCTTGGAACGTGAAAAACTGAACATGTTTCATTAACTAACAATGTTTTCAAAATATTTTTTGAAAAATATACCCAAAATCTATGACCAAACGGGTGCATTTATTATTTCATGACTCGTTTGTCATTTTGTTCCACGAATGACTCATTTCCATGTTGTGAACTTTGGGAGCAGTACAATTACTCTTAAAATCTCTATGAGTGGAATGGAGCAGAACTCATTGCAGTCCTTTGGGGCAACAAAAACTACATTAACATCAACCAATGTGATGGATGAGAATTATTTCCAAGATCCGAAGAAGGTACTGACATGTTCCACTTCATACTTGACTTGATCCAAATAGAGTTTTATATCCTTTAATTTTGGTGACTGCTTTCCTTGAAATCTTATTGTGTTATTTTATGCAGGTGTCACCAGTTGAAACTATAGTTGAACAAGTTAGCAAAAACATGGATGTTGTACTCTCACCGTATTTTTTCAGTTCATTTGATTTGTTACTGTTCCCATTTGGGTGAAACTACCCGGTTTGGATTTCAAATATTGGGGTCCTAAAGGGCTTAGCAAGATTGGGAGCATGATAGGTAAGCCTCTAATGGCTGACAGGAACACTGAAAACAAGATTGGGCTCAATTTTGCTAGACTCCTTATTGAGGTTGATGTTGATTCTCCCTTACCAGATAAGGTATATTTTAGGAATAAAAAAGGTTCACTTGTAGAACAGAAAATTCAGTATGACTGAAAATCTGTACTATGCAAGCATTGCCATAAATATGGTCATTCAGAGGAAGAATGTAGGAGGAAGAAGCACCCCCCCCCCTCTCCCAAAAGCAACAAAATGTTGTGCAAGAAGTAAAAGCAGCTGATACAAACAAAGGTCAGGCAATCAACAATCAAACTTTAACAACACTAGTAATTAAGAATGCAAGGTCATGAGTCGAGAAGGTGACACCAAAAAGTATAACCGAAAGAGGAAAGATGAACTCAGAAGGCTGGGTAACTCCACACAATACAAGGAAGTCACCTAAGGAGCAAGTACAACAGGCACCAGCAGGGCACAACACTTTCAGCGTTCTAAGAGAGGTCAGTACTAGCACACAACCACAGAATAGCTAGGTATCACATAGGGGAGGCACTGTTTTGTCTCCAAGTGGAGATGGATAGCATGCTAAGCTGGAATGTTAGGGGCTTAAATTCTCCTAACAAACAAAAGGCGGTCAAACTCCTTTGTACCAAGGAAAATATTGGTATAGTAAGCTTGCTAGAGACTAAGGTTAAGACAGGCAATATGGAGAAAGTAATAAATAATATGTTTGGAGGATGGCAATACCCCACGAATCTATATCAACACTATAATGGTCGAGTGGTTATAGTATGAAGGCATGACTACTATCATGTCAGGTATATAAGTGGAACTGCCCAAAGTATTACATGTTTTGTTACTGATGTTGTTCTTCAAAAGGAGTTCTATATGACAGATGTGTATGCTTTTAATACTAAGGAGGATAGGAAGAGTCTGTGGCAACATCTAGAAAGTAATAGTGGAGGTATTAATATACCATGGTTGATTACTGGGGATTTTAACTCAGTATTGCACGCCGATGACAGAATAGGAGGGCTTTCGGTTATTATGGGAGAAGTGGTAGATTTTCAAGTTTGTATTGATGTTTGTGAACTCATAGAGTTACCATATGGAAGGTGTAGGTACATATGGAATGACAAACATGGAGATAATGGAGTGTTCTCCAAAATTGATTGGGCATTTATCAATAGAGAATGGTTGGATAACATGCCAGTGATTCAGGCTGATTTTCTTGTAGAGGGAATCAATGATCATTGCCCACTTAAACTAAAAAAGGTTACTGTTACTTTGAAGGTAAATAGAGCCTTTAAATTCTGCAATGTATGGGCTTTACACTCCTAGTTTAAGGGGATTGTAACACAAGTGTGGCAACAACAAATAGAAGGCTATAGTATGTTCCAAATAGTTAAGAAGCTAAAAATTCAAAAGAAGGCTCTTAAGAAGCTCAACCAGCAACACTTTAGGAATATTCTAGCAGAGGCTGAGGATGACAGGGCAGTTTTAAGTCAAGCTCAAAATAGACTGCATGTAGATCCTTCAAGTGTGACATTACAAGAACAAGAGAAGGCCATGTACCAGAAATTTAGGAAATCTTCTTATTTAGCAAAACTGTTTTTACAACAGAGAAGTAAGGCAAGCTGGAGCAAGCTAGGAGATGAAAACACTAGATACTTCTATTCAGTTATCAAACATAAGAGATTACAACAAGCCATCACTCAGATCAAGGATCAAACCGGGGCAGTACAAACAGACAGTATAAGCATAGCAAATGTTCTTGTAGACTATTATGAAGCAATGCTAGGAAAGAGAAAAAGAAGAAGAGCAAAAGCTTTTCACATCTTCTTGAAGAATGGACATATACTTTCTACTGAACAACAGGTAGAACTGATCCAACCTTTTACAACTAAGGAAGTGAAACATGCTATGTTCAGCATTGATGTGAATAAGAGTCTAGGGCCAGATGAGTATGACAGTGGATTCTATAGAGAAACTTGGAGTATAATTGGTAAAGATATTACTGCAGCTATATTGGAATTCATGGAGAATGGTAGATGCTAAGACAAATCAATTCAACAGTAATATCACTAATTCTTAAAGTGCCAGTGCCACAATATGTAAGTTAGTTCCGGCCAATATCATGCTGCAATGTTCTGTACAAATGCATCTTTAAGATGCTATGTATGAGACTAAAGAAAGCAGTATCAGTGCTAGTAGCAGAAAACCAAGCAGCTTTTGTAGAAGGTCGATCATTGATTCACAATGTTTTAATATGTCATGACTTATTGAGACATTACAATAGGAAGACCTCTCCTAGATGCCTTGTGAAAACTGACCTTAGAAAATCATATGATATGATCAATTGGGAATTTATAGAGGAAGCTTTGAAAGGTTTTGGATTTCCAGATTCTTTCACTAGTCTAGTGATGACTTGTGTTACTACCACACAGTTTTCCATCAGAGTTAATGGGGAGATTCATGGCTATTTTGAAGGGAGGAGGGGAGTTAAGCAAGGGGATCCTATATCACCCCTCCTATTTGTCCTAGTTATGGAATATCTCTCAAGGGTGCTAAGCAAGATGAGTGATCTTCCTGACTTTAGATATCACCCCATGTGCAAGAATATAAGGCTAACACATCTGGTACTTGCAGATGATCTCATGATATTCTGCAAAGGAAATCTGAAATCAGTTGCTAGAGTTATGGAGGCATTACAGCATTTCAGTGATGTAACAAGGTTGGAGGCTAACTTGGATAAATCTATTATGTTTATAGCAGGTGTGGATGATATTACAAAGTAGAATATGCTCAATATAACAGGTTTCACTTTAGGAACCTTGCCTATAAGGTACTTAGGCCTTCCACTTACTTCAAGGAAGTGGAACAAGATGGATTTCAAGCAATTAGTTGATAAGATCACAAACAAAATCACTACTTATACAAGGCAATTGTCATATGCTGGGAGATTGCAAATTATCATGGCAATTTTGTTTTCTATATATAACTTCTAGAGTGCAGTGTTCATACTGCCTCAAAGTGTAATAAAGCAAGTTGATAAGAAATGCAAGGACTTCCTATGGGGTGCTATAGAGGACAAAAGAAAAATTAACATTGTTGTATGGGACAGGGTATGTATTCCAAAGGAAAATGGAGGTTTAATTATCAAAGGCTGCTGCAAATGGAACATTGCGATTGTTGGTAAGCTACTATGGCAACTAACTAGAAAGAAGGATATTTTATGGGTAAAATGGGTCAATAGTATCTATATAAAGGACAAAGATAGCATACAGGATCACACTCCAATAGGAGATTGCAGCTGGTATTGGAAGAAATTGAACTCCCTCAAAGTTCAAATGGCAGGATGGTATCAAGGAGACAAATATCTATTGACCACATCAGGAGAATATTCCATGTCCAAAAGCTATCATCATATGGTGGGGCCTCTACCTATAGTAAGGGAGGTTAAGCTAATGTGGAGCACATTTATGCTTCCTAAACAGAGGTTCCTAGTATGGTTGGCATGCAAAAATAAATTGCTAACCAATGAGAGATTGCAGAGAATACTGACTCGTGTGGATGATCAACAATGGTGTCTATGTGATCAGGCACATATGGAGACACAAGCACATCTCTTTGGTCAATGCATACGGCTTACAGACCTAAGAGAAAAGCTGAGCAGCTAGCTGGGCATAAAGATTCAGAACAGCGAAGCAAGCTAGGTGATCAAGTGGATCATATGGAGACGATGGAGCCAATTCCAAAAGGAAATAGTTGTTGCAGTATGGGGATCCATGTTGTATTAAACTTGGCAAGCAAGAAACTGAAAAATCTTTAGAAAAGTAAATGTAGACAGAGAGTATGTGTTTGCACAATTAAAAAGAGAGATTATAGACAGATTGGGTACATTGGGTAGGAATAAAAGAGTTAGGAAAAGTCAGTTGTTGATTCAGAGGCTATTTAATTAGATGTGTTATTTTTGTTTGGAGATCTAGAGTCTGGAGCACCATTCCTAGAAGGTGGCAAAGACACTAGAGGCTCTTTAGGATGTAAAATTGCTTTGGTTGTTATGGTAATTCACATTTATTACCAAAAAAAAAATTCTTCTGACCTTGAATCATCATTCCAAAACTATGTATCATTGCCAATAATGAATAATATTATTTTTATCTAATTTTCATGTGTCTTTAATTTTTGATGTTTACATTTTAGTCACTTTTCTGCTGTGCTTTACGACGTTTGTTATGCAACTCAACTTTTAGCTTAACTAATTGAAGAATACGCCTTTCTGACATTTTCTTTTCAAACAAATACACGTTGATCAAACTCTTGTCATTTGTGATACAAACTGGTGATTTTAGTTTCCAATCTCCTGGGGCTGTGATGTGCACGAAATAATTTCGATACTGTAGAGTCGTTAGATCTTCGCGGTACTAAAGGACAACTATATATGGCGATCTACAAACTCTTTTGTCCTCTAAGCTTAGATTTAAGAGTGAAATTGGAACACTTACAAAAGAGTAGATATTGCTTTCATTTCTTATTCAACAGCATAAACACTGGAAAAGTCGGAACAAGAGGCAACAACTGATACACATGCTCAAAACCAATGATATCAAAGAGAATAGTTTTCACTTTGATAACCTCTAAAGCAAACATCTATAGTCCCTGACTTGGACTCCAGAAGAACTCAAGAAAGTAAGCAAAACTGAACAAAGAAAAGTTTCAGATAGTACAAAATGCACAGCTAATTGATTTACCGTTTATACTAGGGATAACACATAACTACCTCCCTGGGTTGTCCCACTTTACCAGTCGCAGCCTTAAACTTTGCGGGGGAGGGGGGAGGGGGGTCCTATGCCCCCCCTGAATTTATTTGAAGTGAAATAAAGACTACCTTTTTCGCTGACGTGACACTTGGTCTGTTTTGCACCCGATGAAAGCGCGTAAAAACTCTAAAAATTCCATTTTTCATTTATTTTCTCCTTTTTATTTTCTCTCTTCTCTCTTGTTTTCTTTCCTTTTTCTCTTTCTTGTTTCTTCTTCTTCCATCATCACCACCACCGGTCAATCACCATATCCAAAATTTCCAGCAAGCCAACTGTAAAATCTTATAAAATCTATCAAAGAGTGGTCCTAGTTTGGCTTTGATTCTTAGTGGAGTTTCTAGATTTTTGTTTCAATTTCTTGGATCCTCTCGGCAAAGTCGAAGCCATATCAACCCGTTTAAATAACAATAAATGATTGAAGTAAAATAATCATTCTCACCACTAAATCGTAAAACAACGAACAAGAGCCAATTTTGGATTTTGTTTGGGTGGTGATTTAGATTTTCAGATTTTTTTTAATTTGTGGGTTTATTTGATTTCTGATAGATTTGGTGGTGGTTTAGATAATAGTAATTTGATTTTAGTTACTTTGTATCTGAAGGCTTGGATGATGATTTTCCCTGGTTTGATTGATGGAGGTTGTGTTATGGAAATCTATGGTGGAGGTATTATGATAAAGTTGTTGGAGAAGAAGGAAGGAAAAAAGAAAGAAAAGGAAAATATAAACCGATAAAATGAAAATAGTGAATAATATAAATAGAAATGACATGGCACAATCTGATTGGTGCGTGTAATCCACTGATTTCTTTAAAATTGGTGGTGGTCTCAGAATGTTATATTTATTTCACTTCAAACAAATTTAGGGAGGGGGGG